ACTAAAGAACGAAACAGGAAGCAAAGCTCTATTTTCCTTTTATACGGAAGCATATCCTCTTCACTCAGATTATTTTCTTGAATTTATATATTGTATATTATTTGAATTGTTTGCGACGATGTATTTCTCGCCAATTAAATCATTAACCTTTGCATTTGTTTTTGTGTGAATAATTCATGAATTTGTAAATTGATTGCACGTTTATCGAAATTATATATATATATATATATATATATATATATATATATACAAATACAAATATAGGTAACGGTAACTATACTCGTTTCGAAAAACCCTCGAATTTTTGATTTGCCAATAATCAAATGGAGGGAAAAAAGGTTTTTTAAAAAAGAAAGAGCTAGAAACATTAAAGTCTGTCGAAAAAAATCGCACAGATACAAGTTTGAAGCCCAAAGAAAAAACCCCGATACGAGTAAACAGCTAACTAACAAAAGATCTCAATACAACCGTAGAGCAGACCTAGATAATCCTAGTGAACCATACAAACCTACCCAGGTTTCACCTAAGCGGATCGTCAGGGAAAGCTTCCCCTGACGATCCGCTTAGGTGAAACCTGGATAGGTTTGACTGGCTCACTAGGTTTATCTATCTATCTATCTATCTATCTATCTATCTATCTATCTCTATATATAGCCAATTAATTCATCGAGTCTAGAAGAAACCTCAACAGAATGCAGAAAGCACTTGATAGCCGTTTTCTTCCTATGTGTGACTGATCAGTAGTGCGCATCCACTACCGAGAAACGAACTCGGACAGTTACGATACGGGGGAAGCGATATACCAACTGTACTAACGGGCCTCGGTGATGAAGAGATGGCAAACTAGACTCAATAAAGAACTGCTCTCACTTTCCGTGGTGTAACTCATCTCAGAATACCTTTCCCATTGGATTGTGTCGCCACCCACAACCCCACGAGCGACGTTTTCTTTTTCCCCAGCCGCACCATCTCAGAGCATTAGAAGTTGGTTCGAGCAATGATATACTAACACTGAAATTATTGAAAGGATTTAAATACAAATTTAATTAATTCATCGAGTCTAGAAGAATCCTCAACAGAATGCAGAAAGCACTGGATGACCGTTTCGTCCTATTTGGGATTCATCAACAGTGCGCATCTACTACTGAGAATCAAACCTGGACAGTTACGATACGCCGTAAATATAGATGCGCACTGCTGATGAGTCCTAAATAGGGCGAAACGGCCATACAGTGCTTTCTGCATTCTGTTGAGTATTTAGACTGGATGAATTAATTGGATCTGTATTCAAATCCCCAATAATTCAGTGTTCATATATATATATATATATATATATATATATATATATATATATATATATATATATATATATAATTTAACCAGAATTAAGTGCGCGTCGTTATGTTGAGATTGAGTGGTTATATATGAGATATTCGTAGTACACACCGGCTGAAGAGAAGATGTGATTCTTTAGTCTGTCATGACTGAAATAGCAAACTTCCCCCAAGTGTCACTTACCTATCTCTATACTGCAAACTCTGAACACAGAAGTCAATTTGTTTCATGCTATATGCAATCGTCAGGCCTGACGATTGCATATAGCATGAAACAGACTGTCGCCTCTAAGTGTTGACTTCTATGTTCACTTTTATATTTACACACGCTCTATCTCTGATATCGAGCACTTTATCCCATAAATATAGCACACCTTAAGACTATATATTTCTTCATATATATATATATATATATATATAGAGAGAGAGAGAGAGAGAGAGAGAGAGGGAGAGAGAGCAAGAGAGAATAAAAGAGACAAGAGTAGTCACTATTCTTCGATTATGTTATTTTAATATTCATTTTTTAAAAGTATTTTTAGTTTTTTTTCATTTAACTTATTAAATCTTTTTCTTTATTTAAATAAATTAATATTAAACTTTTTTCATATAGTTTTATTCAACATTCTGTTTAATTCAAAATTGTGATTTGGAAAAATAGAGCAAAGTCGGGTAATTTTGATATGTTTCCATAAATGTGTTCTACTTGCATTAAAGAAATAATCTCTATTATGGTTACACATCTAAAAGCGCTCGACGAAAACATCGACTATTATTTTCTGTCATCGATCACAGAACAGTATTATTGGATTCGAAATTCTTTCATAAATGTTTCTTTTAATATTGGACTTCAGTTATGAATAAGGTATATAAAGAACACTACTCTTTTAAGAAAATAATTTCGATGAATATAAATTTTAATTAGAATAATTTATAAAATTTTAAATCTTTTAAATTTTTGCAGGTCAGGTGATGTTGTTATTAGATACAACTATATTTACTCATAATAAATGGAAAAGTTTAGTACAATTCATCGAACACCAATATTTTAAAAAGAGTTATTATTTTGTATATAAACGTCACGATTTTTTTTTAAAATACGTACATCCATACACGACAGAAAAGAAAAGAGATAAGTATAATGAATTTAAAGCCAAAGTACCTGAAATTCAATAAAACATTACGAAGAAAATTTTCGTAAATTTTTAACGTTGTTAGGTAGTCAAAGATTATAAAAAAAAGGTGCTCAGGTTATATTTTTCAAGTATATTTTACAGGTATATTCCCCGTAGAAAAGAATAGATAAACTTCCGTCTATCAATCAAGTCGTCAAGCATTCAACACTTAAAATAAACAGCTATATCCGTGTCATAAAATGTATTTCTGCATAATACTCTACTATAATACTGGTGTTCGATGAATTGTACTAAATTTTTCCATCTATTATTAGTAAATATAGTTTTATCTAATAACAATATCACCTGACCGGCATGTAATAATGCAGAAATTTAAAAGAATTAAAATTTTCTTTATTTACATTATTCGGACTATTGTCCTCATCTTTGTCGCCATATTTATCACAACGTTTCGGCCGTTGTACGCTCTGGCCTTCTTCAGGTGGTTGCAATTTCGAACTGAACCCTTTATTTCGCTCACTGGGTAGACTGTTCTAGTTCCACGTGCCATGTTTGATGGATGTCAGTTATCAGTTATCTCCTGCTAATTTACCTCTGAAAGTTCTCCACTGCCTTAACCGGTATTGAACTCACACTCTTTGGGTCCTGTCACTGGATCTAACCAACGCCTTTATCCACTGTGCCATATGTCCTTGAGGACACATGGCACAGTTGAACTAGAACAGTCTACCTCAGTGAGCGAAATAAAGGGTTCAGTTCGCTGCTTCACCGTGCTTTACAACGGAGTGAATGCCGGTCCTTTTTTAAAAAAAATTTCGAACCTACCACGTATGGTTTTAAACGGCTCGCGCGTTACTTCGTCTGTCGAAATGCCTGGGGCCTGCTGCGGCAAATCAGCGTAAATATCTCGTGCGTTCTTGCAGATTATAACCTCCGTCACGGTATCTCCTGCGAGCTGCTTCTCCATCAACCACACAATCTGTCGCTTTTCCATATTTTCATGGATAAATGTTCGCTGTTTAGAAATTATTTGAACGCCCTTAGATGGTGTTATAGCCTGTATCGACTCCTGCTTCAGCAAGGTACAGATCTTGAAGTACTAAGCTCGTATTCCAAGTTCACTACACGCACATCTTGGTCATGTTTTTCGATAATTTCTTTCATTAATTCAATGCACGTCATCCCCTATTTCTTCTCAACACTGTCCTTCGTACACGCTTTCTTTAGACCCATGGTTAAAAAAAAGAAGTGCCAGCACAAATGCAAGAACGACACTCATACTTACACTGCAAGCTAACCGATTAAAGTGAACGGGTGAGACACGGGATGCTGGGCGGATGTCACGGCTTTCATTCTGGCAGTCACAGCGCCATCTAGTGGTTGCGTATCTGAAGCTGGCTCGTATGCAGAATTGTAGCTCTCAACTCAAAGCAAAAAAATCGCCTGAGAGGCGGCTCGTATCTCGAAAACCTCTTTAGTCGAGACACTCGTAAGTCAAAGTACCACTATATATATATATATATATATATATATATATATATATATATATATATATATTATGGACTCTCCCTTCGTTTTCGACGTATGAGGATCTGACAAGTTAATTGATTCAGTTATGAAATTTTGTGTGATAATCTTAAGTTGCACTTAAGACCCGCTAGTGACTTACAAAGGAGGTCGCATATGGAGCAAGAGTAAGGATTGTGGGATGAGATCACTGTTAGATTGGCTAACCTTTTAGATCTTGCTCTCGCTTCTTGAAGACGATTCTGACAAGCTCATTGAAAACTGCTGAGCCCACTAATATATATATCAAGAACAGCAAAGGGGAAAATTATATGACAAAGGGGAAAAAGTTTACTTGTGTCGCCTTTCGTCCTTCAGGTCTACATCGGACTAAATGTTATATGTTGGCAGGCCAAAAATTCTAAAGACGCCTTCTGTCATGCGTATGTGCAGCGCACGACAGAGGGGTGCTTTTAAAAAAATCTTATCTCGTCGATTTCCTTTAGAATCATTTTGTAAGTAGGTATTCCACACTGTGATATTAGAAGATCTGACAGGAATGGCGAAATGTGTAGCATTTTTTATGTCAAAGTTGTGGTCAGTGTCGTTACTGAGGGCAACCAACGCATTTGATTTATTATTTTGTAAAATGTCCCTTTTGTTTTCATCTTTTATCGATAATCAATAATATAGATTGAGGTTTTTGTGACAAGGCGATGGTGTAAACTCCTCCTCAATGTTTTAACTTATTGTTTTATTCTGGTCAGGATATATATATATATATATATATATATATATATATATAGATATAGATAGATAGATAGATAGATTGTAAATTTTTTTTTAGATAATAATGATTTAGTGATACAAATGTTACTAATTAACCCATATCTGGGAGAGAAGTGGTGGGTTCAAAACTGTCCCAAGTGAATTTACGCGTAAGTGAGTATAACGAACCCAATTGGAATTCGACTTTCCGATTAACAATTCCGAGCCATTATCCATTACACCACCTGTACATCCGATATTACGGCATCTGGTATTCTCAAGCTGTCACCCATCTCGGTACTGATCAGACTCAAGGTTGCTTAACTTCGACGATCGTACGGGAACCGGTGTTTCAGAGTGTAGTGACCGTAATCCATACTGGTCGCACATCCAACCTTCAGCACCTGATATACCCAAGCGGTCACCCATTGTGCCACCGAACAGGCTCGACGTTGCTCAACTTTGGTGATCGTACAGGAATCGATGTTTAAACGTGATGTGGCGTTATCCACGTTCAAATGAGGTGCTATTAAAGGACGGTTTTTTTGTTTTTTTTCTTACGAGAAGTGCTTCTAATATCTTCAAACATTTATTTCGTATTAACTTTTTGTTATTTACGAGGATTTCTCTTATGGATAAGGATTGTCATATGGAATGATTTTTTTTAATATATGAGGGTGAGCTGAAAAGTTCATAGGCTCACTATTAAGGATTGGTGTTAGGGCTGTGAAATCTTGCATGCATTAATCTTGGTCAGCTTACGAACTTTTCAACCTACCCTCGTAGGTATGCGTTGAAAATCAGTAAGAAAAGTAATTAAGACTTATTGACGGGATAGAATTAATGTAGATATTCTTGAGAATATTCCTTCTAAACTTACATTTTTGTTATTACACCAAAGATAAGTTATATCTCTTCTTACTCTGGCAATATCCCATTGTTATGACAACTAATGTAAATCATACCTTACATTACCTCTTATATTCTACTATGAGCCAGTTTTGCATTACAGTCACTCATATTACAACAACTAGTTCTATCACAGCTAGTACTGCTATTATTATCATTATTATTGCTACTACTAGTGCTGCGAAATAAATGTTGTTGTTGCAAGTGGTGTTTTCGCAAGCCTGACCTTTGCCCTCCAGGACGTCCATTGAAGCCTTCGTGACACATTATGGCTGCCGTCTCGCAAGTTGCCCGCATCTGAGTTGCATAGTGGTGGAGTTTGTTTTGATTTCATTAATCCGATCCGTAATCCCTGTCCCAGCGGCGCCCCTCCATCCCCTCTCATACACTCGATCTTTTCACCTTCTTCTGCCCCCACCCCCATTCAGATAGAGTCGAGCTATTTCTCGGATTGACGTTATTCTCGGCTCCTCTTCTTCTATTAACGGCTTTTTCCATGATTCGCTTTTGTATATTAATGTTTCCACAATTTACTGAATACACACTTGGACACACACTTAGACATACACTTAAACACAAACACATACATAGGATCGAAGCATGTGTGCGAGCACTTATTGACTTCCGTCGTTGATGTGTATATGTGCCTTTTCGTCAAGACGTATGTAATTATGCAAATGTGTGTGTGTTGTTTTATGTACGTTTGCGTGTGCGCATGCGTTTTGTATTTTGCGTATGTGTGTTTTTGTTTTATTTATGTTTATGCGTGTTTTTTTTTATTTTAGTTTGTTGATTTTTCTATGTTTGTGTATGGTGATTTTCTAAGCATAGCTTAGTTGTGGCACAATGTTGAAAGTATGGAGTGCCCAATGAGGATTGAAGTCACTACTCAATCGTAATTGTTTGTGCGAGACAAGCTTGCTAACCATTACACCTCATCAAAGTACCCAAGCGTAGCTCAGATGTGGCACAAGGCCGAAAGTATGGGGCACCCAGTGAGGATCAAACTCGCTACTGATTTGTAAATGATTTAGCGAGACAAGCATTCTAACCATTACACCACGTCGAAATGACCAAGCGTAGCTCATATGTGCCACAAGGCCGAAAGTATGGGACACTCAGTGAGGATCGACTTCATTAGGCCACGTCGAAGTGCTCATGTTTAGGTGCATTATATAGATGCGCGAGTACCGTAAGTGTTACACGCTCGGAAAAAGGAAATCGACGAAGCGAGTTCGAATTCTGATCGAATTCATTACGCTCACTTTCACTCAAATAAACTTTAGAAAGGCATGTATCCTTTTCTCCCTGGCTCTGGGTTCAATAGTCGTGGGGACTGGGCTCTCTAGGACAAAGACGACTCTGAATTCGAAATTCGAAACCAAAACAAAGAGGGATGGGGTCTGTCCGGTGATCCTGCCCTAAACGCATCTGCTCGGCTGCAGTACATACGGCGCCAAAATGTTTCTATTGAGTTAAAGGATTTTTGTTTGTATGTCTTTTTCTTTTATTGGTATTTGCATGGACAATTTGAGTGTCTCAATTAGAGTCCATGTGTAGAAATCCATTCTTTTAAAAATACGTATGTGTGTGTGTGTGTGTTTTATGTTCTCATAAGAGCGCATACATGCGTGTATGTGTTTATGTAAATTCCCTACGTATGTGTGTGTATTTTATATGTTTGCTTGTGTGCCTATGTATTTGCGTATATGCGTGTATTTTATCATGTTTCTGTGTGGGTGACCGTATGTTTCTTAGGGCATCAGCGGATGTGTGCTTGTTTTGTTTTAGTTTTTTGTTTGTGTCTCTCTGTGTGTGCGTGTGTTTTGCTTTTGTTTGTATATATATACATATATATATATATATATATATATATATATATATATATATATATATATATATATATATATATATATATATATATATATATATATGCCTATTTTATTGTATCTACTGTTCCTCTGTGCGTTTGCGTCTGTGTACGTGCATATATGTGTGTGAATGTGTGTCTTGTGTTATTCTTTACACGCCCACTCATCACGGCGTTCGTGCATGTTTGTGTATCACTTTTGGCGCGAGTGTATAGAAAAATTACTGGCTAACAAAGTTCGCATTCTAACGGCAAATATACTTTGCAAATCGCCGGGAGTAATGTCCTGTCGCCAGTCATCTTTTCTGGATGCTGTGATCAAATGCAAAGAAACTAAGTAGGTTAGGATACAGAACAGACCAATAATTCAGTCAAACGGATGTGCCATGCGCAATACACGCCTGGGCGATTATGTCACTTTCGATTAATGACTGACTAGGCAGAAGATTTTCCCACAGTAGGCTGCCATTTCATTCTCTGGTACACTGGTTGCCAATCAAGATTATAGGACTCAGTCTGTCCTACTATTCAATCCGTAGCTGGGGGAGAAGTGATGGATTCATATCTTTCCTAAGTGTATTTGCGAGTAAATAGATGAATGCAACGAACCCGAGTGAAATTCGAACTCGTTTCTCCGATTCCGCATTCCGAGCCGTTATCCCTTACAATAATTACTTGACATAATAAAAGCAAAAATATGCTGACTGTATCTATTGTTAATTCTAGCAGATAATTATAGGTACCTTCAAAGAAAAGCGATACCTAAGGTTTAAAATGAATGTTTAAAGATGAAAATCTTCCTTGAAGTTTTTATTTTAGTTTTAATTTCAAGCTAATAGATTAAATTTAACATTTCTAAGATTTTGCTCTATTTCAAAACTAATGTAAATTAATTGAAATGATTTTTTTAAATTGCTAAAATTGACTCATTTTAACCATATTTACTAATCTCTCAACACAAAGTAATTCTCTTTATTAAAATGAATTATCTTTCAAAAATACAATATAATTTTCTGAAATATTATTTGAGGAATAGTAGCTGATTTAAAGTATAATTAATCTGATTTGAAACAAATCTTATTTACTTTGTGTTTAAAATATCATACAAAAGCATTTTTAACGCGGGTGTGTGTTTTTTTGTGTCAACAGCTATCTCGATAGACTTATGTTTGGAATCTATAAAAATTACTTGTCTAATATAATCTGAGCGCCTTATAAACATATATATATATATATATATATATATATATATATATATATATATATATATATATATATATATATATATATGTGTGTGTGTGTGTGTGTGTGTGTGTATGTATGTATGTATATTAACTATACAGTAATCTTACTTAAAAGTTTAATATTCTAAGTAATGTAATATATTAATTTTAAATACTTAATTTTAAATTTACTCTAGTAACCGGTTATATTTTCTAATAATGCGTGTATGGACATCCGTATTTACAAAATTTTGCACACAAATACACAAAAAATCAAGAATGTTTTTTTTTAAATTACTGGTGAGGGTTGCGGAATTGTATTAAGCTTTTACATTTATGATTAATAAATATATTTCTTACTTCAATCACCTAACCGCTATAAATTAATGCAAAATTTTAAAATATTTAAAACTTTATAAATTATTCTAACTAAAATTTAAAAAGGTGAAAACAATTCTCGTAAAAACTCATTATTCATCGATCTTTTTCCTTACTACAGTACTGTCAATATCATATATTATTCATAATAGCAATTAATAAGTTTTCTAATTAAACAATGTCTTAGTTTTATTGTATTTTTCATATATGATTCAGAGAAAATTTTCGGTACCTGGAGGTTCTGTTTTAGAAGAATAATTAACGATTTAAATTCTCCAAAGAGTTCTGCTTATAGCTAATATAAGCATTATGCCCTACAAAATGAATTTCTCGAAATTTCTTAAAATTAAATAGGTGGGGCCAGGTAAAAGATTACAAAAAAATACGAAGAATTTTTCAAAAAGATGCCTTTCCAAAATGGTTTTGTTAATTTGTGAATAAGTTCTGAAAGATTCATTAAAATCCGACAATTATTTGATTTTTGTAAAAATCTTTAAATTAATGTGTTTTTCACCCGCAAAAGATTTTGAAGGTTCTAAAAGAATTAAAATATATAATGCAATAATCAAAAATACTTTGGTATTTCCTCTTAATAATGCAAAGATTTTATCGGTAAAACTATAGAAATCCAAATTTACTTCATTCGAATAGCTATTTCTACCAACAAGACTTTCTACCAACAAGACTTGTTGGCCTTTTCAACTGAGTTGACAAACCCAACAAGTTTTGGTAGAAATAGCTATGAAAATGAGGCAAATTTGGATTTCTTGTCTATATAATACACACACACACATATATATATATATATATATATATATATATATATATATATATATATATATATATATATATATATATAGAACATATATATATATATTACATAGAACATATATATATATATACATATATATACATATATATATATACATAGAAATATATATATATATATATATATATGTATCTATATATATATATATATATATATATAT